ATTAAGAGCATGTTTGTTTTTTATTAAAATTTGATTTTAATCTAAGTCAAAATCAAACAATCAATATTAACATCTTTAATGGGTCTCACAACTTTTCAACCACACATTTCATAAACTTGTATCACAATCTACTAAAAATCTAATTTTAATTCTTACCAAACACCCTCTTAGTCCAAGATGTGCAATATCAATTTTGCACTACATGATTTGTTTACGTCATCATTTTATTCCATTACTAATAGAAGTATTCTTTTAAATTATTTTTTCATACTTTTTGCATACTGAGTCCAACAAAAGAAAATTTAAGAAAATATTTGAACAAAATTTGCAAATTTAAGGTACAAAAAGGATGCAACAAAAAATTGTGAAATACTCCGACTAAAATTTTGATTTTCGATTACTAGTTAATGTTCATGATCAAATTCTAAGACACGATGAGATTGGTGATTATTCAATTTTGAGAAACTTGGATTCGTTTTTTAATTGCAACATAATTAGTTTTCAAGGCAAACTACACAAGTGGCTTGATGTATTCACTTGCAGCTTTATTACAAACATCAGGGTTGAGAGTAGACGTTGCATGGGAGAAAAGGAATGATGCTACTCAAACAGGGTTTAAAAATAGGGGCGTTGACATGCGTTGCGTTGGTAATACTTGTGTGGCTACTTTTTTTTTTTCAAAGTGTCCAATGATGCGCCAAGTGTCCTTCTGTTTTAAACTCTATTGTTGAGTCTGTTTGTGTAGCGTGATTGTAGAGAAAAGAGTGTGGAGTCACACAGCTATACGAAAATTTTCAACATATTATGTAGTGCTAATGACATTTGTGACCTTTATTCGATGAACTTCTTATTATTTTTCTTGAGCAATCTGAATGGGGTATCACAAGTAAGTAGACCGTGCAAGATTTGAGGATGAATTTTCTCTGAAGTAAGTAGAATGATGCAGACCAAGAAAGGGTAAGTGACAGGCTTGATTTGATTTTCATATTATTATTTATTTAATTAGAGTAAAAAAAAATGTATTTTAATTATATTAGGAAAAATTGCAATAGCGGACCCTGACATTTCACTTTTTTTTGTAAACTTTATCATAACCTTCATTTTGTGCTATCCACGGTCTCAAACTTTTCGAAAATATGCACTTGGGGTCCTTTCCGTTCATTTAATAAGGGGAAAATTGTAGCCACGGTACCAAACCTTTAAACAATTCGCACCCGGAGTCCAAATTGACAGAAACCGTTAGTTGACCAATAATTAAATGTTTGACCAATTGTTGACAAATTTTTAAAGGGTAAATGTGTAATTTTATATTTTTCATATGAAAAAAATAAAAATAAAAGAATAAGGGGCCGTTCTCTTTGGCCGTTTTGAGTCGTTTTCTGTTTTCGATTTTTTAAAATAATGAAAACGCATTCTCTTTGTCATTTTCGAAAACAGATTTTGAAAAACAAAAAAAAATGTGAAGAAAATGCAAAACGGCTGAAAAACTGTACGAAGTAGAAAACCCACAATTTCTCACTCGGAATTTGGAATTGGAATTGGGTTTCTGTTCCAAGCTGTATGAAGTAGAGAAAATGGGGAGTTTTTTGGTTTGATTTTCCAATGTGCAATTGGCTGGATGGTGGCTGTAGAGCTGTGGTGGTATGGACTGTTTTTGGTCAGAGAAGAAGATGTTTTTGGGGGTAGGGATATTTATGTTTATTATTTTGGTTTTTTTATTAACTTATTTAATGTAATAATTCTAAAGTTACCATATTGCTCTTACTAAACCCCTGTTTGGACCACATTATTTTTCTTATTCTCATTCTTCTACTCATTTTCAACCACACATTCTTCAATAAAATTTTATTACATTAATAAATTTTCCTTCTTTTTCAACCACACATTCTCCATCAATCTACTATTCCAAAATACATTCTTCCAAAATAATGTGGCTCAAACACACAATTTGGTCAAAATTATTTTTTCTTGGTTAAATAACGGTCAAATGGAT